GTTTGAACCGTGACTCTTTAAGTGATGAGAGATGCTTGGTGGTCAGTCTGATGTGAACCTCTTTAATTTGACTTTCTAACATTTGTTAATCCAGTCAATATGGCATCAAGTAGCATCTTGAGCTCCAGGTATACATTTTCCCAACCATTTTATTTCTATTTATTTAGTGTTTTTCAGTATTTAACACACACTCTTGCAGAATTCACTATTAATAACTTGGTGAAGGTATGTTTGAAGTTAAGACATACTCTTTCCATTTTTAGATGATGGATTGAAGAGAGTTGGGACGTTGTTTTATATCTAGCCCTGCTTTAAACTTCTCCATGAGCTTCTCCCTGGTCTGTCTGCTGTGCTCCTGATGCTGTTTGTTCTGTTTTTTTAACAAACCAGTTGTCCCAGCTGGATTATTAGTGAGAGTAGATCACCCACAGGTGGGCTCAATTTGCTATGTGACTTCTGAGGGCAAACAGTGGTTTATTTAGCTGCGTTTCCATAATGATGCCTAAATGCAACTGCACGCCACACCTTCAGATTTACAGTAATCTCTAAAAAAGAAAAGTAGAGCTATTGATATTTCCATTCATTTCCCAGTTATGTGCTGCCTTGTGTTGGCCTGCTATATGTAATCCCTGTAAAAACCTGGATAAAGTGACTTAATGTGGAAGAGAAAACATTGTCGCTGTGCTGATGATGATGATTTAGTTTTTTAAATAGAAGCTATAGATCTGGAGCTAAGGTCTATTTATTATCTCTGGTTGGAGTCATTTCTAGAAAACATATTTGATTTGATTTAAGATCCGATTTTGACTGTAATTGGTAGAAATTTGATTTTTGCGGCATTAAGATAATCTAAGATAACGCAAAAGTTTCTTTTTTTTTTCTTCTGGCTTTTTAAAACTACTGATGAGGTATATTACAAATTGTTAGACTTTAAATTGTATGTCTTAAACACCTGGATCTCAAGCTAATAGAGATATGAGCTCATGTTGGCGTTCTCAGACTTTGGTTGTTAGTTTTTGGGGTTTTGCTGATTCTCCTTTGAGGTTGGATTTTGACATGCCACATTTAGCTGCTAAATTTTACCGTTTAAAGTGAACTGTGACACATCTTGTTATTTTCCAACCATGAATTTGATTTATGGAACAACTCCTGCTCTTAGATAGGTTGAGGATTGCTTCACTCAGAGGAATGAAGGATTGCGTCACCTTTGGAGCGTAGCAGAGTGACTCCCTGGATCCCTTTACACATGTTGCTGCTTAATTCATTCCATTTATTTCCACATTTGTAAATTATCTTTACCTCACCTTTTCCTGATCTTTAGTATGACATCATTCATATATTTAGTTTTTTTGGACCTGTACTAATTTGGGAATCGTGGTATTAAGATTTTCTTTCTGAGTTCAGTGTGAATGTTTCTGAGTCTAACTGGGCTTAGTGCTGAACTACAGGTAAAACTTTGCTTCATCTCCAGAGTTGCAGCTTTCCTTGTAATAGGTCAGATAAACCATTCAGTTTGTTAAACAGACCCAAATTAATAATTATTTAAAATAATAGAAAGTCAATGCTTTCCAGACTAAAGCAAAGGATGTAAATTAGAAATTCAAACCTTCTTGCTTTAGTCTTGAAAATAAGTTTTCTTTCTAAACATAACTGCAATCTATAAAACACCCATAAAAAAGCATAAGAGCAATTAGACATAACAATAAAACAAAAAAGGGCAAACTATGTCTCACTGCTGTTAGGAGCCAAAGATTGAAAATAGGTTTCCAGCTGATTTTTTTTTATTTTTTTTTTATATAGTAGCCAGTGAATGAGCCTCTCTAATGTGCAGCAGTAGGTTTTTCCATTAATGAAGAGCAACAGCAGAGGGAACCCTGCCTCCCCTGAGCTTCCCTGGCTTTTGATACCTGTTCAGGAGCAGCACCTGAAGAAGCGCAGAGGCTTAAAAGTAAGAATGTGAAAATTAACTCTAAACGGCTCTGGCAGCAAGAAGAATGAGTTCAAGAAAAGATGGATTTGTTCAGTTTTTGGAGTATGGGTTAAAAGACACACAGCTGCAGGCGAGAGCAATCGATCCAGCATAGAGACCATTGCTAACTTCAAATCAAATCAGTGACATTTGATTTCGTCCCCCCCCAATGGCTATGACTCAGCTCAGGATTTTACTGTCCTTAGTTTGATAGATTTATTTGTATATATTTCAAGATGTTTTTGCCTCCATTAAGGCATATAATTTATGTTGGTTGTTTTTGTAGAGATGTTCGCAGCATCTGATAAAAGACAGAATTAGAGGTTGATTTGATCATGCTTATCTGGCATGGTCCTGCTACGACAGAAAAATCCACCCAACTATCACATTTGGCCTTGATGCTTTATGGGCAATGTGAGATATTTTCTGATTTTAGTTTACTGGGTTTATGCAGAAGATGTCCTGCTCCAGCTAATTAAGTTTTAGACGCATCTTTCTGAAGAACCTTATTCCAGAAATCAGGGTTATTGTTTATATTCTCTGTCTGGAAAACTTGCATCTCCCCAGGAAGGTACTTGTGAAACTTTTATCTGATTGTGCAGGTGCTCACTTTTTTCACAACAACAGCCAGAGCCAGCTTTTGGTCCTGTGATTTAGAGTTTTATAGACTTCTTTCAGCATCTTTAAATCCTGAGGAAGACTTTCAAACTAGACATGGCATTCACTTTCAGTTAGACTGTCAGGAGCACATTACAGTAAACATCTGAGGTTTAAACGGGTTAAATCTCCTTCAAAATGCTTAGTAATAATTTAACAGTGCATCTAATGTTATGTATGAGTGTGTGTGGTCTTAACTAAGCCTGAAACTGATTATTTTACAAAATCGATTAATCTGCCAATAATTTTTTCGATTAATTGACTAATAATCGAACAGCCAAAGGTTCCTTGAAGAAAACTTTTTGCTAAATGGTATAATTACTGCTCTAAGTGGATTGCTCTGTCAGCTAAAGGCACGTTTTAGTGTCTCTATACTCCAGTTAACGATTAGTAAATTAGTTGACGAGTATTTCAATAACCAATTAATCTTATTATTTGTTTCAGCCCTAGTATTAACCATCTTCAAAGGGAGTAAACACAGTGTTCTAATTTAAACCTTGCAGGAGTTTACACTTAAAGATGGATTTAAATAGTTATTTTCCTCTTCCATTCTTTAGTTCTTTCTTAAAATGATGTGAAATGTCCATATGTTTGACCATCAATGTTTTACATGACTGTTTTACATTGAGTTCAGAGCCCTGAGATCCAAGTTAAAGCTTACTTCTTTCAACAGGATGTGAATTGTTCCTGCTTCCTCATATATCCCGTCTTTATTTGTTTGGCCGACTGAAGCTCCAGACCTGACCTGCTGGTAACTATAGCTGTGGCCCAAGATGATAGGAATGGACTACTGATGGCTTACAGACAACAATAGAGCTCCATGACCTTCAGGTTATATGCTGTCCTGTCAGGCTTTGATGAGCAGCCTTCAGGACCTTGGTGTTTACTAAAAGATCTAAATGTAACGGCGACTGTGGGCCTGAGATCATGTGGAGTCTTCTATTTTAAAGATGTGCAGGTGTTTACTAATTTCATCTATGAATCACATCTCCAAACATGGGTCTGATCGTCGACCTTTCTAGAGAAAAGCACCGCTGGGTGTGGCGGTGGGAGTTTTCCTGGTTGGTGTAGTTGTATAGAATGGTGTTGGGAATTAAATCTAATTTCAGCTGATAGGATTTTATCTTAATTTGTTTTCTCTGTTGTCCAAAGTTGTCTTCGAAAGCCTTAAACCCATAAACTGAATCCTGCATGTTCTTTTATTGGTGGTTAAAATTTTTAACAGTCCTTAGTGTTTATAAGATTTTTTTTTTTTTACCTCTAAACACTGTTCGGGGGCACTTTTTATTGGGATTATAATCCAACATTTGGGGAAGTTTAGAGTTTTGATGCACTCATTGAACAGAAACAAATCTGATGTTGCAGTTTTTGAACAACCGTAGCTGATGGAGGCTTATTTTGGCAAGTAATGTGGAGGCATTTTTGTTTCCTTTCATAGGTTTTACATTAGATTGAATGTTTTTTTGTGGTATAAAGCCTGCAGATTGTGTTAGATACTTATATAGCAGTATGAGAACTTTGAGTTAAGATGCAGCAGTCACTGTATCAAAACAAAAACTGAAAGAAAAAAAACTAAGCCATGATTATCTCTAGTGCTGCCAAAATTATTACAGTAGTATATTGCTATTTATTTATGAAAAATCTTCTCTTAACACTTTTTTTGTTTGTGTTGATTTGGGCTGAAACAATTAGTCGGATTAATCGTGCTCGATTACTGAAATAATCAACTCATTTAGTAATAGATTAATCGTTAACTTGTGTATAGAGACTCGAAAACTGGTGACAACAGCTTTGAAACTGAAAATTAAAAACATATTTTATTGTAGAGCACTTGTCTTATTCCAGCATCCGTCCACTTCGACATCTGATGTGCTGGGAATTCAGGTTCTTTTTAAAAAATTAACCTTTTTCCTAAATGGAGCTCGCTCTTTCAGGTTCCCAAGTATCTTTTTTTTTATTTATTTTTTTATCTATCTTTGTTTTTTGTTACCAAAAAGTATCTTTTGCAGTCTATGTAAAATCACATGCATTATTTTCTCATGGCAAATTGCATCACTGGTATTGTGCAAATTATAATTCATGAAGCAATCATGGGGACAGGAGAAAAGTTTCTTAGATCTGGTACATTTACCACTTTACTACAGGCTGCAAAGTAATTACCATTAAACCGCACCTAAAGACTAACACTGAACAGACCCTTTATCTGTAAAACCAGCTCCACTCATATGTTGCAGAGCTGTTATCAGCTGCTGCTAACTAGACAGCCAATTGCTGCAGAGACGATTTCATACACGTTGAGCAATAACTAAGGCTTGAAAAGATATGAGTAGTTCTCTACACCTTTTGATTATTTTTTACTTATTTGTTTTCACAGTTCTTATCAGTCAGTGGCAAAGTGAACCAAAGGAGCGCATCATCTCGCTGGTCCTTACCCACCTCCCTCTGCTGAAACCGGGCAACACGGAAGCTAAGAGCGAGTACATGCGTCTGCTGCCCCGCATCCTGGCCCACACCATCGAACATGGCCACCACCTGGAGGAGTCCCGCCAGCTTCTGTCCTATGCTCTAATCCATCCCGCCACCTCCTTGGATGACCGTTCCGCTCTGGCGCTCTGGCTGAACCACTTGGAGGAGAGGGCTGCTGCGAGGGGGGATTCCCTAGAAAGGCCCCCTCCCGCCTCTGGCCCCCACCATCATCAGTCCACACCTTCTTCCACCCTCTCCTCATCATCCTTGTCTTCCACAAACTCTTCCTCGTCCGGGAACCTGTACAACCTGCACCACCACCAGCGTTATGGCTCAGACGATCGTCTCAACGGGTGGCAGAACTCTCGCGATTCAGGAATCGGTGGAGGCTGGCACCAGCAGCAGAGCTGTGAGAACGGACACCTCTCTCTTTACCCATCGTCCTCAGTGCCAGCAACCATCAACACAGTTGGAACCAGTGGTGGAAGCAACACGAGTGAGTAAAAACCCAACTTTTATCCTAAGAGGTGTGTTTTAAGGGACAGCTGACACCAAATATTGGTTAAGAATAAACCAATGTTCAAAAAACTTTGTTTCTTTAACACAATCATGGTTTATACCAGTGTTTCTTAACTTCAGTCGCTAAATCTAATAAGAATTTTAAAGGTGTTCATAGGTTTTTATTTATAAACATAATGAAACACTTTAACCAAGTGTGGTTCAAGTCTAGAAATAATGAGGAAACACAAATCCATAATTCTTTATTTGGAAATGGATAATTTATACTTAATTGCTTGGAAAGCTGCCTGGATTTGGTTATTTGATAATATTTTTGTTTTGTTTTTTATTTACAAAAAAAATCTTCTTAAAAAAAAACAAAAAAACCCAAAAAACTAGCCATCCTGCAGACGATATAGTGCTATACCTAAAGTGTTTTTGGGTAGAATTGTAGTCTGATTGTGGCCTTAACTCTTTTCCCCTTGTTCACAATATTTTTACTTCACTTTTATTTAGTGCTTAATTCGATATTAGGACTGTGGCTTGTGATTATTTTGCTAATCAGTTGATCATTTGATTTTTTTTTTCTTTTTTCATTAACTGATTAATAATTGAGACTGTGGTGCACTCTAGGGGGTGTCGGAGCAATTTATTGAATTCTTATTTAATACCCTGTAGTCTGACTAGGATTGATGAATTTATTAGGTTTTCATAGAAAATTAAATATTTTTAGATGTTTTCATCCCGTCTCTTTGTCTTAAGATCGCATCTATCTGGTGGTTCCATTGTCCATCAGTTTGTTTGTCCAACAATGCATCTGCCTGTCTAGCCACTTGTCCCTTTATCTGTTAATATCTTCATCCATCCATCCATCCATCCATCCATCCATCCATCCATCCATCCATCCATCTTTCTGTCCATCCTTCCAGTCATGTAAAACCACACACAGTGGTGAAGGAAGTAATCTTTGGGACACGATTCCGTGTCAAGTTCAGACCGATTTTCGATTGGAAAACCATGCCAAGCTTGGTAATTACGACCATTTACACATCACGCTAGCACCGTTCCTCGCCTCCTATTGGCGGTCAAAGATACTACACCTCTCAAGGCGGGATTAAGCAAACAAAAATACCAGTGCCCATAACATTTAGGAACTTATGTGCCTTGATGGCACCCTCTGTCCAAATTTCAGTGAGAGCCTCGGTCTCTGCTTCATCCCAGGTCCCACCGCAGATCCTATTATGCCGTTTAGAAGAAGTTCATTTTGTAAACAGGTGAAGAGATCTGTGAATTGCAAAGCTGGGCATGCTGGAAAACCTGTGAGGAGTCAGCTGACTGTATAGGAGATGACGCGGTCTGCTCATGCGCTCTTTGTTATCAGAGAACCGAGCCACAGCTGAACTGCGCCAAGCCCTAATGTTGAACTAGTACTAGATGTAATGTGTCTGGCATGGTCCAATTCAGTTGAGTTCCATTCATATTCAACAGTTATCTGGGGTACCATGCGCGGCATGGTTTCAAAAGGCTAGTGTAAATGGGGTATTTGTCTCATATGACCAAACCATCCTGTTAGAGTCCCTCAATGTGAGTTAGATGAAAAACAAAGGATGGATGTGTTTATGACGAGCTCATACTCATTAAGCACATGGGAGGCCCAGTGATGCTGTGGGTCTGTTTTTCTCTCAAATGTACTTATATTCAGGTTATAATTCAAGGTATTGTGAATCTGTATTCTAAATATATTTATTCAATAAAAATCTGGTGGCTTCTAATAGAAAGCAAAAAAAAGATTCTTTGTCATTTCTGTGCCAACCAACAGAACTGACAAAGACTCCTGGATCAGTGTCGAAATGTTATCCCAAAAACTGAGAGAAAGTTTCGCTGCTGATTTACACTGATATGCTGGCAAATCCTGGGATTAGTTCATGCAGTCAAAATAGTTTGTTTTTTTCAGATTTTTTTTTTTTGTAAGATTTTTCCACTTCCAACTGGATTGATTTTATTTGAAGGCTTTTTAGGCATCTTTACCATGGCTGCAAAAAGGCGTTAAGGTTGCTGGGATTCCTTTAAAGCTTAATCTCAGTCACTTCCAGAGGCTTGAAGCTTCCCAAAGCCTAATCAAACACCAAACTTAAATAGTCGGCACAGGAAACACACTCTGGACTGTTCAGACCAGTGGCTCCCCTCAACAACCCACACAGCAGCTACAGAGAGTCTACATGTAGACAACACGCTGGGAGGGCAGGGTTGTTGAAATTCAGCATAACTATGGTCAGAGCAGGATATTTCCAGACACGAATGCGAGGGCTCTGTGGATATTTTTTTCTTTTTCTGGAAGATGAAAGAAACAGCTGAGGGGGTTTATAAATAAATGTACTTACTCTTGTATTCTGGGCTGCTTGAAGCCTCAGACCCACACAAAGACCTCAGGATTTCACAACTGATAAACTAGAGTTACCCTGGATGGGGTTGGAGGAAGGAGGTGTCACTGAAAGGAGCTTGTTATCAGAGTTTCTGGCATCAAATCTATATCATTTAGATCTAAGGCTGGTGTTTACAGTCTAGTCGCTATTATTGTTGTGTAACACTATGAGTTTGTAGTTCCACTGATCAGTCCCTCAGCTTTGTGTTTTTCTGGTCAGTGTGATGACTTCAGGAATGTAATTGTCGGAGCACATCAACCCATCCGTTACTGATGGAACATCTAGATGACCACCCCAGCTTTAGTCCGAGCCACAGAGCACATACCAACCATCCATTCCCTTGTAAGGCAGCCTTTGTGGCAGACTGTATTTAGAGAAAATGGCTAATATTTAGGGACTGGAACTTGAAATGTTAGCTGGGCATCTATTTTAAACGGTCTTCATGAAGTCCTATAGATAGAGAGGACCACATATAGGACTAGGAGCAGACAGGAGTATTGGTGGCAGCCAACCCCGCCAGAGAGGCGACACAAAAAGCTCTTGGGCCCGACACCTTTTTTATCCTGTTTACACCCTCAAGCTGTCTCCGGGATGTTGGGATGTCTTTTATTGTTTTATTTTTGCAGGAAAGCATGAAGTCTGTTGCTGTTCATGACACTATTCTTCTATCTAAATCATGTGTTTTCATTTATATTCTCAGACTTTTTTACACCTAGTTTTCATCCACCAGACCATCCTGAGATAAAATACCTTCTTTTTATGAAATCTTGAATTGGATTTATTGAAAGGTCCATTCTGTGATGGTGTCTAATTTTAAAGTATTTTTTTAATAGATCTATTTGGGGTAAATAATAATGATCAAGCACTAAAGTGTACAGTTATTAACTGATGAATTTTATTTTAAAAAAGTTTTTAAATGCTGGGAAATTTCTATCAGAAGCTACACAAAGACCTGGGAGAGTCTTTATCCCTCTGTCCACCATTCACCTCATTTTTAGCAAACCTCTCCTTGGATATCACCTTATTGAGGCATATGTTTTGTAACTTTTGGAAATAAATTAGATTCCGATCATAGATTCGGATTATGGGTATGAGAAAGGAGAGTTTGGAAAGAAATCAGGTGCGCATGACAGTTTATAGATGTGAGGCTCTATTACATTAGATTCCAAAAATCTGTCTAAAATACAAAACACATGGTATAAAAACAAAGCCAGCGCCTGCCAAGCGTCTAAGAGCAAGTCCAGGAACACTGACTGCAATCGTTGGACCAACTGACTTGACACTACCTGTCAATCAAACGTTGAGTCTCGTCAGTAATTCATTTAGCATTAAAAATACAGAGCAGAACATGGGTATTTTGTCCAAAAAGACATGTAATAAAATTTTAAATGTTTTTAGAGGGTAAAATGCAATGCAGACATGCAGAATTCAAAGTAATCAGGGGGAGGAACAAAGAGTCTTTGGGGAAAAATACAAGATGGACCAAGATACCTCATGAGCCGCTGAGCACATCAGTGAACGAAAGAAAGGTCACAAACAGCTCTGAGACGAAGAAGAAACATTTTGTCGCATATTGGTTTGTGTGTAGCCATTTGCTAAAAGATCATATTTAGATTAAACAAATTTAATGTGGAAAAGTTTTAGTATTATTTATTAGGATATTAATAACGTACATACAGCCATTGGGCCAATGCTTAAAACAAAAATGCTTATCTGAGTGGTTAAAGGCTCTGGCTGTCATGTGAGGCAACCAGGGTTCAAATCCTGGTTGCTTCTAGAAGGGCATCTATCTCTGTCCTGTCAGTTAGGAAGTCATAATGGCTTTCTGTGGTGACCTCTATTTATGAGCACCTAAAAGGACACACTTACTTTAATGTGTTAAAGTTTGTCCCTTGGGTTGAGTGTTTTATGAAATTCATGGGTCATATTAAAGTGGCTTAGGGAACAAAAAAACTTTTGAAAATGGTCAGGAACTTCAAGTGAAAGTGAAGAAAAGCAGCCAAGGTTGAAAGAATCAATCCTTTAGGGACCAGTGTGCTGCCACTCTACAAAGCCCATGGAGAATCCTCTGCTTTTTGGTTTTGCACAGAGAGGCAGGGTGGCGGGACCTTGAAGCCTTCCCAGAACGCAAGTAGCCTGCTTTAACCACCATGCTTCCACCCCCCTACTGTCCCCATTTTAAAAGACATTTAAGGACTCAGAACTTCCCACCATAGAAAGAGGGGTTGATGGTTAAAACAGCATCTCACTGTCGGCAAACTGCAGCAAAGAGTGATATCTAGGGATCACTGGGTCTCTACAAAAACACCTTGTCTTTACCAAAAGGCAAACTGGCGTTTAGAGGCGAGTCTGGGAAAGCTGTTTCTTTCCCACGATTTAAAAATTAAATGTGGAGTTTTAGATGGTATTAAGTCTGTAGTTAATTAAATCTTGCTATGTACTCTGTCCTTTTCTATCAATACAGGGATGCAGGGGTCTAAACTATAAAAAAAAAAACTGTCCCTTGTGCTCCTGTTCTAATTATTGTGCATATTCTAAAATAAACTCTGCTGTGTAATGACAGGATAAATTATTGTCTCATTTTATCTCTTTCTTTTTAATTAACTGACCATCTTTGATATAAACTTCAGTGCTCCAAGAAGTCAGACAGTTGCTAGTTGAATCAGTTAGACATTAAGTGATGCCATAAGGTTCTATTTTAGTTTACAGCCTCCAGAATTCTAGGACGAGTGTTGTTTAATGTTTGAATTGCATGTTACGGAGTGCACATGGGGACATTTTGTTGATCCAGTTGCAGTGATGCTTGTGAGCTACATGATGCTTGGTATCAAATTAGTGCAAAGGTGATAGGACAATGATCAAAACCGAGAATATATATGTATATTTGCTCTCAAGACACTAAATTAATTTCCTATCAAGCAAATACCCCTAACAGACCATCCAGGACTAAAAAGCTATTATCTAGTTTAAACTTCCAGGTGATGTTAGTTTACTTTTTTTCTGCAGTTCTTACAAGTGGAGGAGGAAGTCAGCAACACAGTCCCCTAAAGCGCTCCGTGTCCCTTACGCCTCCTATCAGTGGCCCCAACAACCAGCCTCTGGGCCACGTCTGGCTGTCCCAAGAGGACCTTCGGACTAGCAGAGGCCCTGCCCCCGACCATGCTCCCCTCTCCCCTCAGAGTAGCATTGCCTCCTCAGGCAGTGGGGGCAGCGAACATCTGGATGATGCTGGTTTAGGAGGCAGTTCAAGTCTTCATCGCAATTCGTTCCATGAGGACGGCAGCGGGATGAGGGGTGAGTGAGGCAGACCACTCATTCTGTTGGTTGCCGTCTGAAGTCAGATTTTCTAAATCCTGACATGGTGCTTCTCTCATGTAAAGACACTTGTGACTAAATAAAGGGTTAAGGTCTCACTCAGCCTTCATCAGCAACAAATCAGTTGAACCTTTTGACTAATTCAGCCTGGGCTTAAACGAGGACACTGTTTAGGAAAATGTCTCTGGTAGCATGAAAAAAATGATTGGTATATTTGTCCAGATATAAAATCTTCAGTCTCTCCACAGATGTTCCTGCTTGGCTCAAAAGTCTGCGTCTCCACAAGTACGCTGCGCTCTTCTCCACATTAACCTACGACGAGATGATGTCACTAACGGAAGAACAACTAGAAGCACAGGTTTGTAAACCTCTGCTGTACAGAGAGACAGCAGTGCTTAAACTAGTCTACTGTACTGCAGAGTAATCGTGTAGGGGTTCAGAAACTATTGAAGTTTTCCCCTTTAACAAAACTTTAAAACATGCCATTAGTGGCAATGCTTTGTTACACTATTAGCAAGAACACATGTCCGATGTGCCTCACATTCAAACAGGTTCTGGACTCTTAATAATATGGCTTTATAAACCTATAGTTAACCTGCAGTTAACACCAGAGTAGATTGTATAGTTTGTAAAGATGCACTATAAATAATTTAAACTACTCCCTCAACATTTATCCATGCACACCATATCATGCATATTGTTTATGCCTTTAATATCAGAGAAAAAAAACTGAGCTTTTGTCTGGGGAAAAGCAGGTCACCTGACAAGTGTGCAAAAGTTTATCTACACTGCAAAAAATATAAATCTCAATAAGTTATTTTTTCTTAAAATAAGTGTGTTTTTCCTTGATTTGAGGAGATAAGTAAGACACTTTGCCAATGGAACAAGACAATTTCCTTTTAAAATAAGAAAAAACTATTTTATCGTCTTATTTCAAGTAAATATTATCTAACTATCTTATTTTAAGAGTGAAAATACTCATTCCATTGGCAAATCATCTTATTTACCTGCTCAAATTAAGGCTAAATATACTTAATTTAAGCCATTTTTTACTTATTTCTGGATTGTTTTTGCAGTGTAGCTCTGAAACGGTTATCAAACAGCAGAGCTCTTAACACCTGAATAGTCTATGTAAACATCAGTAAAGTGTGCAATAAAATTCCTTCCAGTGGGTAGCAATACCTTCCTTGCTGCTACTTGTAAGACTTTTTGTTCTTCAGCTGGAACACGATTGAATCAGTAAAACCTTAGCTGCTTGTTGGGTTCATTGCGTGGTGTTTGCAGGGAAAGCTGTCCTAAATAAAATCTGTGTTGGGTGTGCCAATAAGAAAGTGATTTGTAAAACATGGCTTTTGATGCAAATTATTCATCTACAGCTTTGATCATGACCAAAGCCTGTCACAGAGAAATCGCTCATTTAGATTCTATTGCATCTATATAAATGTGGGTGTTTTCCTCCCAAATGTCCCCTAGCTACATTTAAAAAGTATCTTGAAGTATTTGCTGTCTTGTTACTGACTTAAAAAGTGACTTATGTTGGAAATACGTCCTGCAGAACAAATATAACAGCTGCTTTACTTGTGGAAGAAGGCATTGAGGAATCTATTATTAAAAGCGGGATGCAGCTAAATTTAATTCAGCAACAGCTGTCCAGGAAGCAGTCCACTTCCTCCAGGTGCTGCCAGTTCTTCCTGAGTGATATAATGAAGACCCACACTAAAACATCTTAAAATTCATGATGTTATTTTTTTTTTTTACCATATTTTAAAATGTGATTCTGTTTCTTGCTGCAGAAGGTCACCAAAGGAGCTCGACACAAGATTGTAATCAGCATTCAGAAACTCAAAGAGAGGCAGAACCTCCTTCGCAGCCTGGAAAAGGTCAGAACATCATGTTTCCTTTCATGCAAGAAATTTGCTCATGTAGATTTAACTTTTGAATTGAAAAGTACGGTGATAACCTTTTTCAAACACCACCTGTTGGTGGTGTTTGAAAATGAAAAAGTCTCTGTAGGTGTTATTATTTCTAAGATTGTTAACAACAGAACCCCTAATCCTGAAGGGAGAGGTTTAGGCTCATCCTACATCCTTCCTTCTAAGTCTTCAAAGTAAGACAATGACACTGAGCAGCATACTGTATAAGTGTTACCCCATTTAGATGATGAGAAGTTCCATTTTGCAGTCGACCAGTGTCTGACATCGATTTAAGACAAGTTTGACCTGTTTTTCACTTTCAGCTGAGATGTTTTGAGTAAATTCTTCATTTACATCTATAATGATCTGGGCTTTTTTTGGGTCAAGACAATTAGGGCCGGATTTATCAAGATCCAATTTTGCGTGCAGTAATTTGCGCTCGCAAACTGGAATTTTGCGCGAGGGGCTGAACCATGGTTTGCGGGTGATTTAACAAGAGCGATTGCGTAACTGGTGGCAGGTGCAAAACTGTTGGAGACGCCCTATTTAAATGATGATTTTGCGCGTTTTGTGGTTTGCGGCAAAGTAGTTTGTAGTTTCTACAAACTAGTGCATTAAGAAATTTAAATCTTACAGTGATATATAAAGAAAAAACTTTGGCAACCTTTATTCCCTAAGGTGGTATGTGGCTGAATTTCTACTTCACTGCAGTAAAAAACAACAACAACAAAAACCAGGTGTTTTGTATTGGCCTGTAGAAAAATGCACATACCAAATGGCTCACAAGAAGTGACTGTGGATGAGATTACGCATCCCCGCAGCATTGGTATGTTGCTCCACAGGCGCAGGGGGAGAACCCCGACCCCGTCGGACAGCACTTCTGAAAAACGAGATTGGGAGATCCCAGCTCTCGCTGCAACCGTACGCTGGAATGACCCAGATGCAAAAAAGTGCAACGTTGCAAGGAGTTTTGTGATATCTGGTATTGCGTGGGTCCTCCTTGTGGCTGGCTCCAAATCCATTCGGAGTTCCCCCAACAGCTCCAAAATGGCAATGCTGGATAAACGATATGTTTTGATGATCGTTTCCTCGTTCATTCCAAAAATATTCACACGGAGTGAAAAAATGCGTTCTCTACGTCTCCTTGCTTCATTTCGATGTCTCCTTCTTGCGACAATAACCGCTGCCATGTGTGCGCAATTACGCATACAGACCATTTGCACCTTCTTTTGAAACGTGTTAAATATAGAGTCAGGTACCGTTAGCAAAATTGTTTTTAGGTTTGATAAATCACTTTGCGAGTGCTAAATTAATATATTTACATGTTCTCCTCCCACAAGACGCACTTTTGCGTGTAAACGCCCCATATTGCATATTCATTGCAGAAAAAGTACTAAATGGATAAGAGGCGCTATTTAGCACGTTTTAAAGATCAAATCCTTTTAGCACGCTGTTGATAGATCAGTTTGTAAATTTTTTAGCATGCGCAGTGAAATAGCTCACGTTTTTATACACGCAAACCTTTGATAGATCCGGCCCTTAATGTGTAAAATCATGGCCCCTGGGTTTGCTGATATGTTACTGATCATTGTCATGTGACGAGGCCAAATTCTGCTTGGTCCTGCCACATTTTTTCACAGATGTTCACCAACTTCAATCTCAAGCCCCCTCAAATATGTGAATTATTCTAGATCTCATAATTTTAATCTTCCAACCTTTGAGGGTTTATTTATCAAAATCTTTAAGTCAAATATGTGTTGCCTTGTGATGCAAAAATAATTTAGTTTAGACTTGCCTTGTTAAAGAACATTATTCCAGAATTCCTGGTCTTTTCTATGTTCTTTCAGACAATTCACAATATGCCCCCTTTTTTTTTTACAAGATGAAACAAACCTTCATAGAAATTAATCTTATTTTGTGTTTTTGTGATAGAAGAAGTAAGTGCTTTCCATCATGTGTAGGAACTGACGTTTTTTATTTTAGCATTTTATGGTCTGCTTTCAGGAACATATTTTTTTATTGTTAATATCTTGGTCAATAAAAGTCCTCTATTGTAAGGTATTTACTTGACCATGGTCTGGCTAAAATTCTTTGAAATTCTATAAAATTCTCTCTAGAATTCTAACCAGATTCATTAATGGCTACCAACCTCTGTTATTACTACCAATAGTCATAGCAGGAATGTTGTGGATGTATTCAAAGAAATAAGACTAGATATAATACTGTAGATCTTTGCAGGAGGGAGCCAGCAGACCAAATCATCTGCAAAAAGCAGGGATGAGATCCACTGAAGCTTTGTCACCTTGGAGTTATGCAGTATCTACATTTTAAGATATTTCGTCATGACCGTGTGCTCTTATGGGTATGGAGCTCCAATGGTGAAGAGCATATTTGCATCATCCACATACAAGTTAACCATTGTTAGATTTAGGCCGTAAAATAAAAGAAAGGGTAGTAAAATTTGAGCCTTAAGGAACATCTCAACGCCATAGGAATGGTAAACCGCTTAAGGTCAATCATTGCTTCTCCCAGTTAGATTGTTTAAAAAAAACGATATCTCTATAGGCTTGGTAAAAGAAAACTTAAAAATTAATAAAACATTCTTGGTATTTCTATGTTTACTTACTGCTTCCAGGACGTCTTAGAGGGTGGAAATCTACGCACCCCTCTTCAGGAGCTCCACCAGATGATCATAACCCCTATTAAGGCCTTCAGTGGAGGGGAAGAGTCATCTTTGCAGCGTAGCGTTATGAATCCTGAGACGAAGCGTTCATCCGACTCCAATCTCTCTGGAGGGGGTGGAGGTGAAGCCGAGTCTGGTGCTAGTGTCATCGCTGAGGGGGATCTACCTGGTCAGTTCACTCGTGTCATGGGCAAAGGTGAGCTTCATTCACCAACATTCCTATTGAGGCTTTCCACATGGCAATAAAGCCTTATTTATTTATTTATTTATTTTTTTGTTACGCTTAGTTTGTACCCAGCTCCTTGTATCGCGGTCAGATGAAGATAACTTCAGCTCCTACCTGCAGCTGATTGATAAATGTCTCATCCATGAGGTAAGTTAAGTTCTGGCTTTTAAATTGATGTCTTGCAGTGATAAATGGAAGAACAGTTTCCATATTTTGTCAGTATATTAGCACTCAAGTGTGGCGGATTAACCTCTGGGGTTCAAACTTTAAGAATATCGTTTAAATTTTGTGTGATGATTTGCATTTTTCTTGACTAATAACTGGTGTTTTTCTCTACCTGTACACATTTCAGTCCTTCACAGAGACACAGAAGAAGAGGCTGTTGTCTTGGAAACAACAGGTCCAGAGGCTTTTCCGGTCCATTCCACGGAAAACACTCCTTGACATTGCAGGGTACCGACCTCAGAGGAGGTAGGTTCGCACTTACTGGCAAACCATGTTATTAGCTGTGAGGGAAAATCTATTTTTGAATAGTTTCAATAGCTCTCTTTTCATCTGTATCTCCCTTTTGTCCAATTTGTCTTATGTCCACCAGTCGTTTTGGTCAGTCAAACTCTCTCCCTACTGCAAGCTGTGTTGGAGGCAGCGTGTCAGCCAGGAGGAGTCTCCACCAGTTCCACATGCCTTCCAGGAGTTTGCCTGGGGCCAGGCTTGGTCTACTGGGCAGTGGAGGCTTGCTGGGACCCACGCCTCGCAGCTCCAGCAGCACCCCAACTGGTCCCAAGCAGGGGAGACATGTAAGTGAAACAGGAGATAAAAGGAAGCAAAAATATGATGTATGGGGGGGTATTCTGCTAATCCTGCAACCAGGAATACCTCTGTCTATATAGACCATTGCAACTTTAGTTTAGTTTTAATTACTAATCATAATCACTTTTTTTTTTTTTTTTTTGGTTTAAACACAAACTAATTGAATTCTTTTTAGTAAAATGTATTATTTATTCCTCCAAATTATGAATAAAATAAATCTCAAGTCACCTTGCAGGAAAACGGATCCAATATAGAAATCATTCGTATAAGGAAGGATTCATTCCACTAATTCCAGTATAAAACAGTTATATAGTCAATATACTACTGATGTACAAAAGTATCTGTATCTATTACTTTCTCTTAAAGGATGTCTTTGCATTAAGCTTGAAGGTTATCATGGTCAAATAAAACTATTATTTTCTCAGATTCAATGCAACATATCACACAAGATCAAAAATATGAGGACAGGAAGTGTTTTTAGATACCTAGGAGAGCAGTAAAGACCACAGTGTTACATTCAGTTCAAACATGATTGTTAAAATTCTCATCTAAAATGACCTTATTAATATTTATGACTGAAATAAAATGTAAAAGTTGATCTTAAAGTTCAAAGTAAAGGCCGGATAGAGCTGTAGGTTTAATAGGTGTAGGACTAATAAATAGATCTGAAGATGGTTTTATCTCCTCCTGGGACAGTATTTAAGATAAGGTGGACACTTGATGGTTAAGTCAGTCATGCTGATATAAAACAGAAATCCAATCTGATTGTCCTGTTTCTGTTTGAAGTATAATTTTTTGCTTCTTTTGACTTTGTTTTTAATTCATTCAATTAGGTCCATGGAAAAGACTTTCTTAATGAGGTAACTTTACAGAAGCAGCAGTTGAATTGATAATCCACTCTTTTTCCTTTGTGAATGCGTATTTGATGTTAAAGGGGAACATTCCCGAGCTGTGTAGTGATACATTCCAGGATGGTTAGAACAACCTGGGCTCTGATATTCCTTTTCAGCACGTCGTCTCCCCGAAATATTTTTGTTTTAATCGTTTTCCATGACGAAGAAATGCAGGATGAGGAAGATGAGTAGTGTTTGTGTATAGGAGAATGAAGTGAGGTGAATGGAACTCATAGGCAGGTCACTCCACATACCAGAGGCTCTGCGTCACTGAACAGCGGTGAAACGGGCAGAGCTGCAGAGGGGTTTTGGCCTGTCCTGCCTTACTTTGGATTGAACCAATCCAGTTCAGAGCAAACCTTTTTTTTTTCTCCTCCCTCCTTCTACTCTTCTACTCTCTTCCACAATGGGAGGAAATACCTCAGTTCCTCCTTGTCTTTAAAAGTGGTTATGCAGGGGAGAAAAAGGAGAAAAGACGTCTGGCAAGGAAAACTGTGAGTCATAGTTTGGGAGATTTAGCTGTGGTGTTGGAAGAGGTGGAGCAATAAGAGAGGGAAAGAGAGGTAGAGTATATGGAGAGAAAAGAGAGGGAGAGATATAGTGAGAACAGTGCACAGGCATTTCCTGTTTTTCGCTGGCCCACGGTGCTGCAGGGCCGTGAGGGGGAGAGGGGTGATGGATGGGGTGCGGTGAGGGAGGGGATAATGGGCAGGTTACGCTGAGGAATTCATGTGTGCAGCATCTGAGACCTGTCATTAAGCGTAGCTCTAAAAGAGGAAGCAGTGTGGGGGGGATACAATGTTTTATGCTTTTATACTTTGAGCTTCTTTCTATTTGAAGAATTTGTTGCATTAGTAGTGATTTGCTAAAAAAAAAAAAAAAGTAGTAAAACAAATAAAGGAAACATGACTTTTTGTGTTAATGTTTCTGTTTTAATGCTGGGGCCATTAAAAAGACTAGTTGATTAGGGGAAAGAATTGTGGGCAGTATATGCCCAACGCTGCTTAAAGATTTATGTTGGTTTTCCTTTACTTGTAACCAAAAGTAGATTTTTATTGGGGATTTCTGTAGGATTTAATTTGGGGACTGAAATGGATATAGAAAGATTCTTTCTTGTGTTTTTAATCATTGTCCTGCTACAACACCAAATGATGACCTGTTTTTAGGAAGACTAACAAGGTTCCTAGTGCTTTTAAAGAGAAAAGGCCCCACAGCATCACAGATCCCCAGCTGCACTGATAAGGGGGAGAATGGCGGATTTCCAAATATAAAAATAAATACATTTTTTCTTTTAAGGTCTGGAACTATTACAATAATTGTTCTTACTGGAGCTTCGCTTAGTTTAGGATCATAACATTTCACATGTGACTGTTTTATGATCTATCATCATAAAAGGTTTTTAAACGTTGCAATTTTAAGTTGAACAGAGCCTTTCAGAGCATAAAAAGCCAATTATATGTCACATAAAAAAAACTGCAGTCATTTCATCTGAAATAGTGTCACATATTTTTCTAGGCTTTATTGTGGGGAAAAGAAGTGTTCCATCTATTCCTCTTTTCCTACATATCAAATTCTGAATGCCAGTTCATTTTTTTCCTCTGATTAAAAAAGGATTCACTCATGATGCACACCTGTTAGACCGGGAAAGGTGTGAGGCCTATCTTTATCACACATGAGATGCTGTTTTCTAGTTTCGGAAAGGGTTCAAAGTGGGTTCAAGGTTGTTGAACATCCTTCTGTTTGTGGAAAACTCTCTGTAACTTAATGTTGTATGTGAAACCACGGTGTTAAGCAGTTAATGAAATCCTTTGTCTGACCAGAAAAGACAGAACATCAAGACTGCATCTGTTCTCCATTGCAAGGATCAATAAATGCTGCTTGAATGAAAACCACCGATCTCCTCCTTGTTAAATAAGACTGTTTTTTTTTCTATATTTCTTAACTTTGACATTACTTTTTAAGCTAAGGCAAATGTATTTATAAGTCACAATTTAAATTCTCCGTTCACCATAACATAAACATGAAATAAACTGTAATATCTCATTATAAAACAAACATAACAAAACAAGATACATTTGAAAGGAGGAGAAAACCATGGAAATCTATCAAGTTTTTTTTAAGAGTCAACAGGTTGGTCACATGTCAGGTTTACAGGGGCTCCAGAGCTGCGCTAGTAGCAAATCTATTATGACCTTAAGGATCTGCATTACATGTCTTTCAGAGACCATTTGGTGCCTTTCAGGCAGTTAACAAAATGTTAATATCTATTCTTTGACACATAGGGAGCCGACGCAGTCAATAAAAAGAATGCTGTGATATGAAAGATTATTCTGTGGTATTTTTTTTTATTTATTCCTTTATTTAACCAGGAAAAGTCCCATTGAGATTAACAATCTCTTTTTCAAGGGAGTCCTGGCCAAGACAGCGGCAAAAGATTACATTACAGTTTACAATTACATCTATCTATAATTAGAAATTCATCAAACAGTTACAAACCATAGATCTCATTTCCAAACCTTTGAGCAATCGTTTAAAATGTCCGATGGGAATCAAATCCTTTCTGAAGATTGTTCCATGCTGATGTGGGCAGAGTACTGAAAAGCTGTCTTTCCAGCTTCAGTTCGGACACTAGGTACAGACAGAAGCAAAGACTTGAGAACGTAGAGAATACAGTCCAGCCACTCTTGGTTGAATGTACTCACAGAGGTATGAGGGGAGCAGACGCAGAATACCCTTATAAATGATCATATACCAGTGAGTGAGTCTACGAGTCTCTAATGCTGTCCAGCCCACATGTATGTAAAGTTCACAGTGGTGTGTGCGAGGCTTACAATGTGTGATAAATCGTAGGGAGGCATGTTAAACTTAGTCTAAAATTTTTAGAACTTTATCAATCACCAGAACTGAACAGTTTAATAATTAAAGGTTTGGATTTTTTTTTCCCCCTTAGGGTCCATGGTTCGCCAACCCTGGAGGAAGTAACAGCATGCCCAGTAGGAGCCACAGCTCTGTACAGAGGACGCGTTCCCTGCCGGTCCACACCACGCCACCAACCATGGTTACGTTCCAACAAGCCGGTGAGAAACTTCAACAAGACTGATGGAGTAAAACAAAGTTGAATGATGAATGAATGAGGGAACCCTCTTACTTGCTTCGGGTTCATTTATTCAGCAATGCGGTCGTTCTTACCATTGTTTTACAAGAGTTGTTGTTGTGCCTTCTTCATTTTTAAGTTATTTTTATGTTACTTTGCTTTTATTGTGAAAACACTCTTTCCTAACCGGTCATATACTTCACCATCTGGACCAACACAGAATCCTCTCTAGTGTTTAAAATCCATAACATTGAGGAAACTACTTTTGCACTTTGAAGAGTCCTTTTTTTCTGCAAATGTTTCATCACAACTGAGGATGTCTTTCAGTTCCCTAATCTCAGCAAATCAAGGAATCATATGAATGAAAACCTTTAACAAAGTATGGAGAAAGTTATAAAAAGGAAGGTGGTTAGTCCTGGGTTGCTGTGTGTCGTTGTCCGTCTTCCAATTTAGGCTGTTCTTTTGGTTGCCATGACCAGGATGACTGAGAAGTTCTCTGCCGGTCGTTTTCCACAGGTCGCATTAAGTATAAGTGCCAGACAGAGTGACCTGCAGTAACCTCCTTCCCACAGGAACTTAAGATGGTTTTAGAGCAGTCGGCCTCCCTCTGATTTGCCAGAAATGTCCTCCTTTTAGAACCAGGACAAAATGGATTTATTAAAAGAAAAGCAGCAGAGAGTAGGGAAGTAAGCTGGAGAGTGAGTAGAGGATATATGTGAGAGAGGAAGAGATGGAGGCAGGGAGGGGAGGAAAGAGTGAGGAGCCTCACAATGAGGCCCTTTGTGCAACAAGGATGAGGCTCCCTGGCCTGGCTTTCCTTCCCTTCACGCTCTTCCTGACTCACTTTCTTTCTCACTGTTTCTCTTGCTTCTCTCTTTCTCCCATTCCTCTGTTACTAGCATCCCTTCCCCCCCCTGCCGCCCTTTATTTGTCGACTCTGCAGAGTCATGCACACACAACAGTATTCGCCGAGGCTGGCTGTAGTTGGGTCGGAGCCAGAGTAGACGTGAAAAGCGAGACGTCCCCCTGCCCCCTCATCTGTTTTTATTCCAGATCTTCCCATCTCCCTACCAACAGATATATAAAGAACATATACACTCATAAAATTAGAGAATGCAGGCAGAAGCATTAGTGTGTGTACTTGTCTTTTTGTGTTCATAGTGTGTCTTTGTGTTTAGGGGTTGGCAGAGGGATGATGGTGGGATTTGGAGGCTATAAATAGTCCTGCATGGACCTTTACACAGGTTTTGTGCTCCTAGCCACAGGAGATTTTTCACTATCCAGTTTGTGTCGAAGTCTCGCTTCAAGACTAGATGTCTTAGAGGTTGCTAGGCTGCGCTGAGTCTTAAATACACACCCTACATTCATCTCTATGCACTCCAGCCTGAAGGCAGCTCTCCACCAAACTGTCTCCACCCAGTCCTCCCGGTCATGGACTTTTAGCACCTGTGGGTCTAAAAAAAGAAAACAAGGCAGCTCCAAGTCTTTGACTTAAATAAACTTAGTCAAGCTTCTACATCACATTTACTTAACTGTTAAACAGTGAAACATATAGAAAATAGTTAAACTTTCAAATTACATTAAAAAAAAGATGCTATTAAATATGAGATGTTTGGCTTTTTAGTGTGAAAATGACTAAAATCACCTTTTAAATAAGTGAAAAAGGCCCGTTTAAATTTTATTAAACATGAAAAAGGATTTAAATTTAAAAATTATGGTGATAATTCGACAACAAAAGTGTTGACAACAATACGGCTAATCTGTTTAGTGAGATTAATCATACATCCATCCATTTTCTTTACACGCTTAATCTCAAGTGGGGTCGCGAGGGTTGCTGGTGTCTATCTCCAGCTGTCTACTGGCGAGAGGCGGGGTACACCCTGGACAGGTCGCCAGTCCATCGCAGGGCAACACAGAGACAAACAGGACAAACAACCATTCACACTCACACCTAAGGAGAATTTAGAGAAGCCAATTAACCTAACAGTCATGTTTTTGGACTGTGGGAGGAAGCCGGAGTACCCGGAGAGATCCCACGCATGCTCAGGGAGAACATGCAAACTCCATGCAGAAATACCCCAGGCTGGGAATCGAGCCCAGAACCTTGAGATTAATCATGATTAATTTAAAAAATCAACTGATTTAGTAATCGATTAATCCTTAACTAGAGTATAGAGATTCTAAAACCGGGTTTCAGCTGACAGAGCGACCCACCTTGAGCAGCAATTATACCAAAATTGTAAAAAAAAAAAATAATTTTTAAATATTTTGCATTTAAGATAAAAACAAATGTTTTTGTCTGTCAGTATGCTCTGTCTATAACTCTTCAAGTTTTAGTTTCACCTGGCTTAATTTCATAAAAACGATTTTCAATTATTATTGATTACTTGATTAAATTATTGACCGATTAATTGATTTGCAAACTAATAGTTAGCTGCAGCCTTAATAATGTTTAGGGACTATAAGAACAATCATTGGGTGGAGGATGATAGATATTAATAAAATAAGCATTAATTATGACTAAAATGATGATATTGAGGATGTTAATCATTACCATGCTATTGATAATGATGAAATGAAAATAATTACAATAAGATTGATAAGAATTACACTAGTTAATAATTTTGTTGATAATAAAAATAATTATTTAAACTCATTGTGATAAGGACTGACATTGTAATGATTATATATTTTATCACGTTGGAGAATTTAAAGAAGTTTTTTTTCCCCAAATTAAACTCTATATTTTGTTCATTTCCCAGATCATCAGTTTCCAGTGACGGAGCCGGACATAAACAATCGTCTGGAGTCCTTGTGTTTGAGTATGACGGAGCACGCTTTAGGAGGTACAGCTTTTTGTTATATTTCTAATGTGGGGAGAACAGACCAGTTCATAAAACTCCCACTGCTTTGTAAAACACTTCCAGCCACATTACATGAAACACACAGTGTCTGTATCATAAGGGTGGTTTTATTTTGTTGGAATAAAAATGTCCTCCATGAGAGGCAGCAGCTGTCAGACTGTTTTTCTCCAAATAGCCCTATCAGTATTTTCACAGATGCGTCGTTCTCAGCAGGACTGTTTAGGCCCCTTGCTGTTTACCAGATCAGTGAATCTACAGGCCGTCGACACATTTTACCTTATCCAAATTAGATAATGAATAACAATAATGGCAACAATAGAAGAAAGTTAAAATATAATATGGAAGAACAGCTGCATTTCTAGGCTTCAATGTTCTATAATCGGATTTTCTCTGATTATAGAAAGGCTTTAAACAGCAGTACTGTGTCACTGTTTTGGTTTCATCTGAAGATGCTCATTTCATTAAACTACTGTCACAGCAAATCAAGCTGTTTTTTGTTAGTTTTTTTTTATCTTAAATTAAGATAATTGGATGACAAGGTGAGCTCCAAATCTTGTTTTATTTAAATTATGGACCTAGTTGACCTGTTATCACTAAATGAGTTCAGAAAAAATGTTTTTTTTTCTAGAGGTAATGACAAATTCTCCTCCCAACAAAACAAGGTTGGAATCTCTTGGTACCTTTTAAATACAGCCCTAGTCTGATAGCAATGCTTACTTTATTTTCCTAGATGCATACAGTACATATTGACCGTAATCAAACTGTCATGAAAAGAAGATGAAATTTATATTTGAAGTAAAATTAAAAAAAAAAAATTACCTTCTTGCAGTGAGGATGTTTCTTGATTAAAATCTTGATTTTTTTTTTTTTTTTTTTTTTTCAAATATTAACCTTACTAATCTTGTCTAAGAATAGTGACCAGCTGACTGTTTTTAAACCAAAGCTTGTTTTTTAGTCATGGTATGATCTCTGCTTATCGGCCCGTCTGGTGCAGAGGGATCTGTAGCCAAATGTGCTTTAACACCAGAACTCCCAAGGCCGTCATGTTGACGGTTCTGAGATTTTAAAGGGAAAGAACTATATTTAAAATTCATCTTATGTTGCTCATTTCAACTGACTTTTTCTGTTTTTATATTTCCTTGATGCTCTTGTAGTTTTCCTAATAAAATTAAAACGTTAAAAATAAATATGGTTAATTTTACCGTGATCTCCCACAGCCGTCATTTTGACGGCTCTATTAGTTGCATTGTAAATTCTTCCCGCGGTTGATTGACACTCGGTACCGTTGCCTAGCAACCAACTTTCTACCTGGAATATTTCGGCTAACACGGGGAAAGTGGCTTTCAGAAGAAATCTAACTGCGAAACAGGCTTTAGAAATGCTTCAAAATATTGATGATAGCGATTCGGGCGGTGGGGGGGACCGATGAGGAGGACTGGGTAGGAAGTGACTCAGATTCTCACAGCGAGTCTGAGGATGATCACCCACCCCCGGGAAAACGCAGACGTATCAGTGAGCCATCAGACAATAGTGAAACTTTTGTTCAAGCACTGCCCACACATCAGCCGGTCCACATCCACCTAAAAGTCAAACCAGAGCCCGCAGTCTACTATAATCACACACAGGTCGAGGTGGATGTGTTGGATCAGATGATTAGAAAGGATTCTCTGAAAGCTCCGACGGGAAGGTGGCCTGTGGCTGTAATTTATGATCTCCTGGAAATATCAGCTATAAACGTGTTGGTTTTGTTCAGGAGCTGTTTGAATGTCACTTTTTTACGCAAAGATTTTATCCTTGAACTGGTGAAACAGTTGCGGGCAAACCGCAGGTTTCCAGTCCCTCCGCCGCTGTAGAACAGCTTTGGCGAGGCACAGAAAACAGCACCAGGTGCTTCAGCGCTGCACAAAGAAAACGCTCATATTACATTTGTCATAAATGTGAAAAGGTGTTCTGCAGGAAATATTTGGGGGGAATCAATCAATTTCTGTAAACAAAATTTTAATTTCAAATTTCAAACCTGTGTAGTGAAACAGTCTTACTCTACGGATTTATTTTGAATAAAAATAAAATAAAATCCAATCAGGATATGGTTCTATTAAATGTAGTGATCACACTGGGTGGATCTGATTAGCTGTGCTGGTTGGGTGTCTCACTCATTCATTGCCCCAGCTGTAGCCTGTCCCAGCATGCCCTGGGTGATACAGAGAAAAGGTTAGTTCCCAGAGTCTGAAGCTGCTATACTTCCTCCTGATCTTTGAATCTGTGCTGTGATGTAGATTAAGAAGTGAAATCCTGATGTCCTCTCTCCTCTTAGATGGCGCTGATCGCACATCAACAATATGAGATAATCAGGATGCAACGGGTTCTCCTATAAGCCACCTGAAGATCACTGGTCCTCCCCCTCCCCCCCTCCTTGTAGCTGATGGTAGAGCTCAACCAACGGAGCAGGCAGGACCTAAGAGACGCACACAGGCTGATTGCAAACGGCTGACACAACCCATCATCCTTCGGGTCGGAATAAAAGAAACTACCTTCCTGCTCTGCCAGCATGCTTGGTCACTGAATCTGCAGTTGGAGAAAGTATTAAAACAAACGTTGGACAGAGCATGAACATAGCCCCCCCGGCTCCACACACCTGTGGAGGCTTGTGGAAGGGAGACGATGGCCTGTGGATCAGGTCTCGGTAGGACATCATCTGGCGCAACGACCAGATCAACATGGTGTCTTTGGCTTCATTAACGTTACCTCAGAGTAAGACGAGCAGAGCAGCGACGATGCAGCGGGACGTTTGGCGATTCTTGGACTCATTTCAGAGAGGTCTGAACATTCTGAGCAGATGTTTGTAGAAGTGAGCATCACATCTCTCCAAGTATTCAGCTGATAACATGTATCCACATGACGTGTCTGTATTGTTTACATGAAGATGCTACTGTCAGAGGGTACAGAGACATGTATTCATATAAGGTAGTTACGTATGGAAAGCTTTACATCCCACAAGCAGCCATCAAACTAGTTTTCAATGAATGTCCTTGTTCTTTATCTTAGCTTCTTAATATAAGGAAAACAATGCTGACTAGTGCTGATCTTTTAGCTAAGAGAATGATGGGAGGAAGTGGAGCAGACATGGAGGAAGGTGGTTCGGAGAAGGACGTAGAATGTGGTAGAGGAAAGAAATGAGCTGAAGTGATGCTAAGAGGGGAAGCGGATGTTTTAAGAGGCAGGACCTCTGAAGATGACGGATGGGGATGATATCGTGTGAGTGAGGGTAGAAGGAAGTGGATAAGTTGTTTTCATTCAAAACTTGTTCTCTGAACTAAATCTTTTCAGGCAAATCTAAACAGGGAAAGGGAATGTCGATGTATTTCTAACTGGGGAAACGATCCAGGCATGTTGGGGTGTTGGGTTCTCTAAAACAGGGTGATTTCTTTGAGCTGCATGTGACAAATGAATATTTGAGGAAAGGAAAAAGGTGAAAACTTAATAGAAAGAGCAACCTGTCAATCTATGAAGGGTAGTTCTCCCAGAGATTGTCTGAGTGCCTACCTCCACCTGCTGGTCAGACGCAGTCACTGCAGGGTAGATACTGCTGGCATGTTTAGAAGGAAAGGATTGTGGGTGTGCCTGTATCTTTGATGAATTAATCAACAGAGGCCTTAATAGGATATATTTTCTTCATTATTATTCTTTAATCGAATTTTCTGGTTGTTTCATATTAACGTTCATCCCTATGTGCTTCCATCTGGAAAACAGATACTTTAAGGCTATGTTCAAATAAGCTGGTTAGGTTGCTGGTAAGGTACCCATGCCCTAATCAATTTCTATAGTTTCTTAATAATTAGGGTTTTTTTTGTTTTGATGTAATTTAGTTGCATTTATTTTGTTTCCTGCACTTAATAATGTTAAACACTTAAGTCCAAATGTTCCTATGTTAAAGCAACTGGGCTGCTTAGGAGTTTTCATTAGCCATAAAGGATTTCTCTTTGCCTAAACTTGAAGTCTCGAGATAAAAATACTTTTTATGTATCATCATCAGTATTCAGGCTTTTTTGCGAGTCACATGGATCAATGTGTCAAAAGAAAACCCAGAAACAAACCAGTGCTCTTAAAAATGGCCGCAAACTTTGTCCTTGGTGATCCAATTGGACCTGGATGTTGCTAAATTGAGGTGTGAAAGCATGGGAAGCAGTTTGTGATGGATCATTTTGGACACATTTTATATTAGTTAAGGAATCCTGATGCTGGACTTTGGGCACTGATTGGGAAGACGTCTGGGGAGAGACCATCATTCTGATTTAGAAACAGCCCAAATCACTGTGTGTCAAAGTTAAATAATTAATCAACCAACTTCCTATGGGAAAAAAAGATACTATTATGAGTTAAAATTCATCAATAAAAATATTTTCATCAGCTCTTAGTGAAGTTTTCCACTGCCATCTTATGTTAGTTTTGAAGCTAATTTTATCTGGTCCTTCAATTGTAAAACCTGCCTAACCTTGATGGAGCTGAAACCGTTTAAATCATTAGTTTGTCCAAAATAGTGATTTTAGTGTAGCCAGAAATGGGTAACCTGAGGAGATATTAATGCCAGGTTTGCTTTTCCCACTCGTATATGAATTAGCAGGGAACACATGTTCCTGCATGGTCCTTTAAGATACCTTTTTGCTGATGAAGGCAGCTTCACTTAGTTAGTCTTTGTCCAAAATACTTAAACAGAAACAATAAAAAGCCCCATTTCATTGCAAGAAGATACCCAGTTTGCCTTAAATATCACAAATGACTTGACTACAAGGTTTAAACCTGTTTGTTTTTGTTTTTTTAAATATATAGATTATCAAAAATCAAACAAAATCAATCGTTAAAGGTTTGTTGTCATCCCACTATATATAAAGCATATATATCACACAGAGGAATTAAAAACACTCTGCAGAACAAAGGAAACAAACATCAGCAGAGAAGAACAAATACCTACATGGAATGTGGCATATGGCATTTACAGAAAGTGCAGCTTGTGCCTGAACAGTGTATGAAAAAGGATGGAGTGCTGCTTCATTTTCGGCAGGGATGTTTAGTATCTGCCTGCAGGGGCGATAGTCTTCAAATCTTTTCCTATTTGTTTTTGATGCAATGTTGCACCATTATCAAATGGTTTGTTGTCTGGGTGGCTAAAAGCTGTAGCAACCATCCTGGCCCTTTTCTTAACGGTTGTGCTCTAAAACTTAACGCTTTAACGGTGTTACAACTTGGCATGTTTCTTGTATTAAAGGGGTGAAAATGTGCAGAAAGTTCCTTCAGATCCAGAGAAACCCGACTAATACTCCAGTCTGGATCGGCTCACACACTACATGTTAAATGTTTATGTTTTTTCACATCGCCGGTTAATCTGAATTCCTAACCATGAATGGATAGGAAACACGTTTCTGCCTTTTTGAAAAGATCAGGATCTCTTTATATTCTCTTAGCTTCACTGCCATTTATCTTTCAGTCCTAAAAAGTAGAAACAATTTATTTATTTGCCTTTTTGTTTTCCATGTTTCCTGCAGAGGTAAAACTGATCTTTCAAGTGTTTTATTATTTAAAGTACTATAAGTGTTAACATGTTATGGCTGGTGACCATACATACATCTCAAATATTAACATAGTCATTTTCTTTGTACTTGTTTATTTTTATTGTTGATCTGTATTTGGGATTTGTTTTTTGTTTTTGTTTTCATATTTGAAGCTTTGAGCGCAGCAGAGAGCTGAGTCGGCCAATGGAAAGCCCTTCAACTTTGGGTTTTAGTTTGCATTTAGACAGAAAATAAATCCAAGATGAGCTGAGATCTATTGTTATCAGCAAGAGTCCAGTTTGGGAGAGATTTAAATGTTAAACTCAAAACAGCAGAGGAAGTTTAGGACTATTTTTAGCAATGGATTAACTCAATTTGATCAGTTGCAGAAGGGCAGTCTGTTTCATTCAGGCATGCAGTTGGTCATCAATTTGATTTATTTGCTAGATATAATCATATTCCTGATAGTTTTTTTTGCATATAAACAACAAATTCTCTTTCAAAGAGACTTTAGGAACATCATTTGTTTTGCCACTTTCATCAGGTGACATTGTTTGAGAGGGTAGAATGGTATTTATGGCTCCGCTGTGCAACAACTGGAGCTCAGGATCATTGATCATCTCTTCAACTAAAACCAAATCAGCTCCGTTACTCTCCGCGCTGTGCACGCAAGCAGTATTAATGTTAACGCTTTGATATTCCAAAAGAATTTATTGTTTTTTCATTTTTGAGACATGCTTTTTTTTTTCTTTTTGTAGATTGTGCAAATCGGTTTTTATTTTTTAAATGCAAGGACTATTATTTTTTTTTTGTCTCTAGTTTTTTTTTTTTTGTATGGAGAGAAATCTTGTCTGTAACAAAGTTTTACTGCTTGACTGTGCTCCTTTTACTTCCTTTAGATTTATTTTATCAAAGAGCCGATGTCCTGTATTGACTGCAGGCTTACTTATATGTTTGAAGAAAAAAAGTAACTGTTTAATAATAAAAATTTGACAAAAAAAAAAAACAAATCTAGGAAATTAAAATTTGGAAAAAAGTGTATTTATATTTTAAACTGCATGCACAAGACTGGGAAAGTCATATTTAGAATAACAAATGGCAGTGCCTTTTTTTTGTATACTTGACACATCAACATCATCATAAAATGTAAAAGGTTAAATATGGTCTTTATGTTACCGCATTGGGAAAAAGTTACAGCTGAGCGGGGATCACCTTCAGTTAAATGCCCCACTTGAGTGGATCTAGAATGAAATTTGTCCATATCTCCAGAAACTAGGCCCCAAAAGTGTTGACTTTAGAGAGCTGACAGTATTAAAACATCAACTAAATGTTTAAATTAATTTCCTTTGCAGTGATCATCCAATTCTAATTGATGTACTTTAAAACAAGCTGACAATTGATGAGCTTTGCAAATGCTTTTGTAAGTAATAAATCCTACTTTCAGTAGTCTGAATGCATATCAAAGTTCCATTAATTACATTTTTTTACAAACCAATTCAGCTCCCTTTATGAGTAAAAAAAAAAAAAAAGAGCGTGAATGTGAACCCAGCTGCTTTAACAGGTTGGTACCTGTTGAATCTTTATGGTCTTCAGACACAAACTAAAATGTGACAGCGGCGTAAAAATGATGATCAGGATGTGTTTTGATGTGTTTTGTACTTTTTCTGTATTGTACCAGTATGCTGTGATTTGGCATGACCCCGATTTATATAAAAACAAACAAACAAAAGGCCTCCAGTTGTCTGTTTGTGTAGGTATCTAAAGTAAAATGACTATTTTCATTTTATTTTTTAGCTATAGAGCAGATGTTGCGTTCAATGCATCTTTTTAAACAAGGAAAAGTCTTGTTGAGAATAAAATGATATTGATTAAAAAAAACTTTGCACATAGATTCAAACTGAAAATCTGGCAAAACTATAAATGGAAGTGTCTGATTCTGCAACCTAGAATCTTCTTAAGACTACATAAGGCTCCATGTTTTTTAGGCACATGGAGTAACAAACATGACAGCTTTCTTTGAGACGGACCGAGAGAAGTGACAAAGACTTGGCCAGTCATTGGAGCAAACTTAAGAAGACTTTAAGGTAACTCCACTTGACTATAATCCATGGGACCAGTTGAATTATAGACACTGAAGTTAATTAAACCAACAGGTTATTCATTAAAGAAAAAATAAAATGGAACAGAACCCTGACTTCACTCAGTTGACTTCCAGCATCTTGAAATAATTTCGACACCTTTGTTTGTGGAAGACTTGGGAAATTATTAACAATCTCTTCAGTCCAGAAACGTAAAAATATATGAGGTGCCCCCAGGGACATAAATCAGAATTAACTTGCATATACACATATTAAATTACACTCTTCCATATAATATACTGAAAACCTCACACAAACACTAGTAAAAAGCTCTCACATAAACTAGTGAAAACATTTACCTCTTATATAATCTACTCAAAAGCTCTCATACAAAGTAGTGAGAGCGTTCTAGTAGCGTGTATGAGAGCGTTCTAATAGTGAATATGAGAGCCTTCTAGTAGTGTATATGAGAGCGTTCTAATAGTGTATATGAGAGCTTTCTAGTAGTGTATATGAGAGCTTTCTAATAGTGTATATGAGAGCTTTCTAGTAGTATATATGAGAGCGTTCTAATAGTGTATATGAGAGCCTTCTAGTAGTGTATATGAGAGCGTTCTAATAGTGTATATGAGAGCCTTCTAGTAGTGTATATGAGAGCATTCTAGTAGTGTATATGAGAGCATTCTAGTAGTGTATATGAGAGCGTTCTAATAGTGTATATGAGAGCGTTCTAATAGTGTATATGAGAGCTTTCTAGTAGTGTATATGAGAGCGTTCTAATAGTGTATATGAGAGCATTCTAGTAGTGTATATAAGAGCTTTCTAATAGTGTATATGAGAGCGTTCTAATAGTGTATATGAGAGCGTTCTAATAGTGTATATGAGAGCGTTCTAATAGTGTATATGAGAGCATTCTAATAGTGTATATGAGAGCGTTCTAATAGTGTATATGAGAGCGTTCTAATAGTGTATATGAGAGCTTTCTAATAGTGTATATGAGAGCTTTCTAGTAGTGTATATGAGAGCCTTCTAGTAGTGTATATGAGAGCGTTCTAATAGTGTATATGAGAGCCTTCTAGTAGTGTATATGAGAGCATTCTAGTAGTGTATATGAGAGCATTCTAGTAGTGTATATGAGAGCGTTCTAATAGTGTATATGAGAGCATTCTAGTAGTGTATATGAGAGCGTTCTAGTAGTGTATATGAGAGCATTCTAGTAGTGTATATGAGAGCATTCTAGTAGTGTATATGAGAGCGTTCTAATAGTGTATATGAGAGCGTTCTAGTAATGTATATGAGAGCGTTCTAATAGTGTATATGAGAGCTTTCTAGTAGTGTATATGAGAGCTTTCTAGTAGTGTATATGAGAGCTTTCTAATAGTGTATATGAGAGCGTTCTAATAGTGTATATGAGAGCTTTCTAGTAGTGTATATGAGAGCGTTCTAGTAGTGTATATGAGAGCGTTCTAGTAGTGTATATGAGAGCTTTTTAATAGTGTATATGAAAGCTTTCTAGTAGTGTGTATGAAAGGTAAAGCTTTTCACCAGTTTATATGAACAGTTCTCACTACTTTGTATGAGAGCTTTTGAGTAGATTATATAAGAGGTAAATGTTTTCACTAGTTTATGTGAGAGCTTTTTACTAGTGTTTGTGTGAGGTTTTCAGTATATTATATGGAAGAGTGTAATTTAATATGTGTATATGCAAGTTAATTCTGATTTATGTCCCTGGGGGTACCTCATAAAAATATGTTGACACCACACCAAAGGTTTATTATTAACTGCAGTTTTGTTTATGACCACAAGGGGGCAACAGTAGCAGTGGTCCTTCTTTGATAGTCTTTGCATTGCTTTACTTTTATTCCTTAATGCATATTAGTATTCACCGTTGTCCTTTGTGCCTCAGTAAGGTTTGCCAGGTAACAAATATCATTTTAAAGCTTTCCTTTTCTAAAATATCTTGCAAATATCCAAAATGAAGTGCTAATATTTCTTTGTAGACTGCTTAAATTATCTATAGTAAAAACAATGTATTAATCTTTCTTAGTTTGGATCTCCATCTGGTGAGAGGAATAAAAATAATCCAGATTCAGTCTCAGTTGTAATACTTTTATTATCTTTGATTGTTAAAAAGTTATTTTTTAAAATAAGCACAATGAACAAACAAGGCCACAAAAACAATTTGTTTTTTTTTCTCTTAGCATTCATCTTCTCTCTATCAGCACAAACACACACACACCATCTCACAGACAAATCCACTTAAACAATTAAAACCAGGCAGCGAACCTTATGATGCACTTAAGTGCAGCAACGTGTTGCACCATAAACACAAACGTCACTCAACAACACAAACTTTTCAACTGCCAGGGTGAAAACGATGAAGAAAACACACACAAATATATTTAGTCAGCCTTATGTAGAGACAAGATACCTTTTTGGTTTTTAATGCAGAGGCTGGTTGGCAGATAAAGGCAGTTTCTCACACAGGAAAAAAAAAAAAGATGTAAACATGTTTGAAACATGTTCACCATAAAAAGAAGGTGTTGCTTCCAGATGCCTGATGATTATGCATTTTGCACCATTTTGATTTGGGAAAAAAAGTTTAAATTGGAAAATATTCTGCTTCTGACAGCTCAGTTTTAAAATTGGTAAACCATATACTTTATGGTTTTACAGTGTGCTCTGTTAGAAAGACATTAACACACCAGAAATTAAGGTACTCTTCTCAAATAGGATTTTCTGAGAAGTTTGCGAACTGTGATAACTTTGATATCAACAAATTTGTTCATGTATTTTTTTATTCATATATATATATATATATATATATATATATATATATATATATATATATATACACATACAATTTCTTCTTCTGATTAAATATAAAGATGGTAGCATAGTGAGTATACTGAAATGGTAGACCACACTAAATCAGTCAAAATAGACGATAAAATATCTGGAGCTGTGCCTCCTGAGCATGCTAATGCTAACAATAGTATTAGGAACTTTAGTTAAAGTAGAACAGTTAGCATGTCAGTGGTACACTGCAAATGAAAATGTGAAAAAAAGATTTATTTTATTTTAACTGAATTCCTGCTTCTGAAGGATTTGCAAATTGCTTTTTAAAATTCCTCTTTTTACATAGGACTCAGATGTTTGCATGTACACCCCTCACATCTTTATTAATATTCTTTAATGGGACTTTATTATATAGAAGTGTACTCACTTTGTTGAGTGTTGACCTAGTGGGTTAGAGCAGTACACTTATGCTCTGAGAAGTTTGCAAGTACCCGGTTCCATCCCCACAGTCTGCACTCTGGGTTCCTGAGCAAGAACCTTAACCCCACACTGCTCCCCAGGGGCCACACAATGGCGGCCTATTGCTCCCCAAGGGAATGGGTTAAATGCAGAGGTGTATTTCCCCATTGTGGGACAATAAAGGGATTTACATATTTTTTTTTTTACAAGCCAGCAGGCATTAATGGTTCTGTGATGGTTTTTTTTGTTGTTGTTTTTTTTTTGAGGGGACAGTAAATCAAAGGTTATTCAGTCTTTAAAATAAAATAATATTCAAACGGAAATGTGACTGCTGTACTGACTTTTGTCTGTTATTGTAACTGTTAGGTTACAATAACAGACAAAATATACAAGAAAAAATAAAGAGTAAAATCTGTTTCACTGTGTGAGAATAAACAGGTCAAATCATCGAGGTAACGCCGCTTCATCAGGTCTTTACAGAGTCAACAAAAACACAGAGCGAACACCTTTCCACCGTGTTCAGTGAGACGGAAACACCCACGCACAAACACACACACATACAGCGAGCACGGCAGGTGGTCCGTGCAGGTGGAGGTAACTCCAGGCAACAGGAGG